TTGGAGACACCAGACTCCCAATGACGGAGCGGACATGGGCATATAAGAACCCGGGGTCTCTAAGCAGACATTTTCGTCGAAAGCATCTGAACCCTCCTTGGCCAGTAGGCAAGATGATTAAATGCAATATTTGCCATGTGGAACTCAAACACAAGATGCATCTGATGAATCATGCAGAATCCGTACACGGAACGGTGTCGCGAGTGCCTCTGTAGTTCCCTTTTCCCTTATATTGCGTCTATGTGCCCAAATGCGGTTGTCCGTCGAGGCTTATAGCTGGACCTGTTGATTTTCATTATGCTGCTAGATGTGTTAGATCTTTGATTGCTCTGCACCGGCAGGGCTGGGCCCTGGTACAGTACTATTTATATCTTTTCTCCATGCATAAAGCCAATTTTGTTTGTTAATACTTTTGTGCATTTACTGGAGTAGTATTATGGCCTACAGAATGGTAACGCTTCTATTATTTAACATACATATGGCGACCTCGTCGAGACTCGAGAAGACTAATAGTGCCAACTTTCTGCTAGCAATTTTCTGCTGACACACTCTGCACTTTCTAGCATTTTGCCGGCCAGTTCGCTGATTCTGCTAGCCACTTTCTGCTGACACCTTTCTGCTAGCTGTCACGATCCTGCAGTAACTAGGCGGAACAACATGGCAGAACGTCATGATGGGCGGTATAGGATTAGACGGGCAGAATACCTCGATATCTTTCTCGCTGCGCACCGTAGATAGTCTTTAATTAATTAATTAATTAATCTCCATCCATGCGTATACTGGACCCTGGAAGTAAGCTCTATCGGTTTGCAAAAGAAAACCCCCTTCCGGAGAAGGGGGTCGGTTACTTTATAGGTAAGTCACTCTTATTCCGCCGGACAACACAGTCTCTCCCTCCTACGCCTTCCCTCGGGCGCGATGCCCCCAAACGGTGATCCCGACGCGGAAGACGCGCCTTCGGATACGTGTCAATATCCAAACAACCAAGAAAATGAGAAACGAACCCTACGTCCTAAGGCACCAAGCCAGCGAACGTCATATATTGAAGAACAGGAGAAAGAGGCCGCAAGGAGAGAGGCAATAAGAGCAAAGAAAGGCAAACGTAGTGCCCCCGATGAACCAAACAACGAAGGACCCGCATCAACACAGATCACTACCGATGGTCACGCTCGAGTGACGAAAAGGGAGATGGCCAGTGGATGGCTGTATGTGAAGTCTTTGTTGAGCACTGGAAGCGAAGTACAAAAAGAGCTCTCGTGTGGTAATTTTTTAAGCCTTGAGATGTCAACATTGAACATCATCAAATGTAGCAGTGCTAGAACGACGAAATCGCCCCTAGGGCATTACCACAGGACAGCATTTATAGTAGTGCAAGCACCGCCGCATGGCAAGAATCGTTGCGCCACAACACAAGGTGAGCAGCTCATAGCCCTGATGATGACCTCGATTCACTGCAGACGGGGGAGTCGTTGGATGAGCGCGTGGTTGCGGCACAACTACTGCGCATCTGTCTCATAAGCGCCTTGGTGGAGGGATTGGCCCAAGTGGTTATCACTGTTAACATCCTAGTGGACGGCTCGGCCCGACAGCTTATAGACCCTCAGATCAAGCCTAATCAACCAGTGGAGACCTACAACATTCCTGTGAGCTTAAGCTCCCACACGGCATTTTTACATTCGATTCCAGAACTACTTGGGTGTAGCGTCCAGGGCGCGTCGTCCTCGGGGATTCAGTCACAATGCCAGGGTGCCGCTTAGTCATATTTCTGTGATTGATTTCCCTTGTTTTCTGATCGCCCTTCCTACCGATCAAAAATCTACGAGCACCCTGACAACTGCCCTTCCCGTTCTAGTAGGTGAGCAGCGCCGCCCTGAACTCACACGATCGCGGGGGAGGGGTGGGTGAGTGGAGTGATCACCTTTCAGCTGACGTAAGGAGGGGTTGGCGCGGGTACCAGGAAGCGGAATAATGGATATTCCGGCTTCGACGACCCTCTTATTTATCCAAACACAGCTTCCCAACCTTGGGCCAACATCTGATCACTAACACCACTCCTAATATCAGACGGCACATTAGCCTCATTCTACAACTGAACTAAAGCAGTTGCTGTTGGCTTCAACCCGGTCAGCGAGAAGTCGCCCGAACCAGTCTTTAAGTATGCTAACTTGTTTTTGTCAATGGCGGTTAGATGGAAAACTAGGCACAAGCGAAAATACGGCGCTGCTTAAGTCTCCAACATTCGCTCAACAATTGTCTCACTGGATGAAAACCAATGTCGCAGGAGGAAGTAAGGAGGCTACGTCAGCTTCTAGAAGACGAGCAACGACGCCGCGAAGAAGCAGACCGACGCCTTGCCGAGGAGCAACAACGCCGCGAAGAAGCAGACCGACGCCTTGCTGAAGAGCAACGACGCCTTGCCGAAGAGCAACGACGCCGCGAGGAGACTGAACGGCGAGCCATCAAAGAGCTAAACACACTACCCGACCTTCTAGATGGATGCCACAAGCTCTCTTTAGCAATTAGCATTGAAACAAAGGCGACTTTGACAACTAAAGGAGATCCTGTGAATCCCATCAATAGGATCTATCCCAGACGTGTTCTCCACTGGCATGAATTTCCTAACATGCAGCAAAAAATATGGGATGAGTTTATCACAGAACCCGCTTTCACCTCGCAACGCCTCTTTCCATCGCCGCATCAATTAGACTATGTCCGTAGCCGTATCAAGACGATCTACTCAGAAGACTCCCTTCGGGATTTTGAACGCGATACGGTTGAGAATTTTGTGGAAGCCATCCTTGACAGACTGTCTGAGAACAAGTCCTTTCGACAACGGTTCAAACTCACTGGCCGGGTGACATTTGCAGGCCGTGCTGACACGGAAGACTCGAAAATGGAGACCTCCCTTGAGAAGACAATGGAACAGATGCACATCACAGAACAATCGTCCAGCG